GAAGAAGAGCATATTGGTCTGTGGTCAAGTTTGGTTGAGACATGGCTAAGGCAGCCATGAAGCATTGCATCAACAACATTGGAAGGAAGATAAAGCCCATGATCATGGTTTCCATTGATGCTGGAAAATACCTACAACTTAAAATCAAAGAGATGGCATTATAACAAACTCTTTCTATGGTGTTTTTTTTTTTTTTGATCCAGATAAACTTTTTTCTTGGTTAATTTATTTTTTTCTGAACCAAGGAAACTCTAAACAATGCTCCAAAAACATGCGAGAATAGTACTTAAATGAGAATAAATATATATTGAAAAAGATTAAAATATTTTTTTAAAACATAAATTAAGATGTTTCTTTATCATTTTTTATAATATTTTATTGAAAGAACATAATTTTAAAATAATTTTTTCTTAATTTTTACAAAATATGACGGACAAATAAGGCCGTATGAGATGTAACCCTTCTAGGGCCTGTTTGGATGGGGAATTCTCCCCTAAGTTTTCTCTTTACAAAAAGAGCAATGCTACGGGCAGTTTCTCATCTGCACTTTCTTGAGCACTTGCCGTTCTATTATTGAAATGTGGTAATATGATTTACGTTTCAATCAGCAACCGGTTTCAAACTGGTTACTTCTACTCTTACTTCTATTTTTACTTTATTTTCATATAAATTTAGAGTCCCATAATAATCCCAATCCAACCACCACATTTCAAACTGGTTACTTTTACTTTATTTTCATTTATGAAAATTAAATGAGATTCAGATACGGTCCCAAATTAACCACAATCCAACCACCACATTTCTTTCAAAATGTTTTGTCATCAATATCTTCAACCGTAATGTGTCCCCCACTCTCAATAATAGCTATATCTACCGTTTGAAAAGAAAATGCAGCAATAATTAGAAAGAGAAATTTCTTACCCAAGCCACCGAAATATGAGACCCACATTGCTGATGTTTTTTTTTTTTTTTCCTCATCGAAGTATAATGCATGTCACACATGCTAGATTGCTTCTACCAAACATTCTCCAACTCACTCACAAAGCACATCAACACCAATATATAGTATTTATTACTATTACTGTTGTAATTTTCTAGATTAAAGATTTGAAGATAATTCATATATTTACCTATATTATCCTTAAGAAAAAATTAAGAGAAAAAGTAAGATTTTTTTGTAATAAGATAACTAATTAAAAAAATAAATAATGATAAAGTTAAAGTTTAAAGTTTTAAAAAATATTGCTCTATCTTAAAAAATAAAAAAAAATTTCAATTAATTTGAGATAAAGTTATTTCAAGATGAATGGAATATATTTTTATCCTACATGAATATCAACAACTCCTCAAAAAAAATTTTAAAACAAATCAACAAAATCTTTATATCCTTTTGATGGAATCAACTAAAATATATCCTTATCCTACGATGTCTTTTAGAATTAGGTATTTTAACTAATTACCATTCCTTATTTTGTGCCACTTAATTAAACTAGTTGGGATAATCAAGATTCAAGATATACTTAATTTTTATAAGACTAAATCTCCTTTTTTATGGTTCCTAAAAAAAAAAAAAACTCTTATTTTACTCTTTCAAAATTGATTTATATACGCAAACACCATTATTTGTAAATATTCATTCTCTCTCCCTCTCTCTCTGTCTTTTGTAACCAAGTATTCGTTCCCAATGCAGCCTAACCATAGGTATGTATTATTTTTCACTCGTCTGGCGTTAGGATCCATATATAGCACTAGAAATCTGAGGAATATGGTTGCTTGGAAGAGGTAGAGCAATTGTAGAGGAATTGTAACCTGGAACAGGGCATTCATGAGGGAGCATAAGGATGCTTTTCTAACCATTCTCAAATAATTATTAGAATGAGTTTTATCATATTGAAGTTAGTTTGTTGGTTTATACTCCATAACTGCTTCAATTTACATTTAAGTAGCATGGTGACATGGTTTGAATTTGTGTTTGGATATGATTTGAAGATGTAATTTTTTCAGTACTAATTTATTTTTTTTGGTAATTTAATTTTTAACTGGAGGATGAGGGACTTGAATTTGTGATGGACGTTCAACTGTGACAATGATTTTATTGAATTTGTTATATGGAGGGGGAGAACAACTGCACTAATGCAGGTATGAAGAGTCACTGGAGTGTTTTTTTGTATAATGTCACCCTTAATAAAATTCACTTTTCTTCACTGATCCAAAAAATAAAATTTTACTCTTTTAACACTCTTTTTATTTTTTTTCTTTTTTATTTTAAATCCTTCATGTACATTTTTCTACTATATATTTTCAGTATATATACCGATCATTTTTATTTCCAATTGATAACTTAAAGATTATAAAATTAATCTTAGCCAATATCATGAATAGATGGCGGGAGGTTTTGGCCAAGAAACGATCGAGAGAGAAGGTGCGCAAGGATTGGCTTCCTCCAAACCCGCAAGAAGGAAAACACAAGGAATGAGCATAGCACATGCTGCAATTTGCTTTCGTCTTGTATATTTGATCCTTCACTAGAGAAAAGGAAGTGGACATGACTAGCAACCATATTGTGACATGTATTTTATTTATTTATTTATTTTTTTGTATTTCATTATTTTTCTTGGCTTGTATTTTTAATTGATTTTATTTTGTAATAATTTAGTATTATTAAAATTATCAACTGATCATTTTACTTTAATATTTCCTTTACAAACTTAATAAATTTCTATTTAAAAATTAATTATCTTTAAGGTATTTTGTTATAAATTTGACAAAAGTATTTTTTTAATTGAAAATTTATTTTCAACCGTGGATTAGAGGAAAGGGTGTTTTTTTTTTTTTCCTTTTAATTTTGAACTAGAATTTTTGTGACAAAACTTATTCATTGATGTTTGTATTAACTATTTTTGTGAAGAGATTTTTCGTCACAAATATATGTGGTAATTACATAAATACCCCTTTCGGTTCAATATTGGTTTAAATAATTAATAGTCAAATATTTCGTTAGAGATATTTAATTGCATTCGTGACCATTTTTTTGTCACTCAGTTGTAACTTTTGTGACAAAAATTTTTGTAATAAAAAGTGATTTTTATGATGAATAAAATTGTTACAAAAAACTTATTAATAATGTTGATTTTTTCTGTCACTATAAAATTTTTTCTTGTGATAGGTGCTAAATTTGTCATTAAGAGCATTAATGACAAGAGTTTTACTAACGATTTAAATTTTATCACTAATTCTATTTTGTGACGGAAAAGAAAGGTTTAATGACCAATAAATTAGTCATTAAATGTGATTTTTCTTGTAGTGTAGTACTTAAATGAGAATAAATATATATTGAAAAAGATTAAAATATTTTTTAAAAGCATAAATTCAGATATTTTTTTATTATTTTTTGTAATATTTTATTAAAATAACGTAATTTTAAAATAATTTTTTTTCTTAATTTTTAAAAAATACGATGGACAAATAAGGCCATATGAGATGTAACCCTTCTAGGGCCTGTTTGGATGGGGAATTCTCCCCTAAGTTTTCTCTTTACAAAAAGAGCAATGCTACGGGCAGTTTCTCATCTGCACTTTCTTGAGCACTTGCCGTTCTATTATTGCCATGTGGTAATATGATTTACGTTTCAATCAGCAACCGGTTTCAAACTGGTTACTTCTACTCTTACTTCTATTTTTACTTTATTTTCATATAAATTTAGAGTCCCATAATAATCCCAATCCAACCACCACATTTCAAACTGGTTACTTTTACTTTATTTTCATTTATGAAAATTAAATGAGATTCAGATACGGTCCCAAATTAACCACAATCCAACCACCACATTTCTTTCAAAATGTTTTGTCATCAATATCTTCAACCGTAATGTGTCCCCCACTCTCAATAATAGCTATATCTACCGTTTGAAAAGAAAATGCAGCAATAATTAGAAAGAGAAATTTCTTACCCAAGCCACCGAAATATGAGACCCACATTGCTGATGTTTTTTTTTT